ATATTTTGTCCTATTTATGTTTATTCTTATTGTGATGACCCAAAGGGTCATCTTTTGTTTTAAAGTCCATTTCGGTTTTCTGAGGCCTTGAAAACCTCCTTGTATCTCTCCTCGATTTGCGTGTGCGGTCCGGGCGCAATTCCGGAAAGCTTTTATGTGAATTTTGAGAACAATATTAAATTTGGCCTTTAAAATTGATTAAAGCTGACTTCGGCCAACATTTTTGTTAAACGGACCCGGACCCGTGATTTGACGGTCCCGTAGGGTCCGTAGTAAAATATGGGATTTGGGCGTACGCCCGAAATCGAATTCCAAGGTCCCTAGCCCGAGGTAAGAATTTTTAAAGAAAATTGGTTGCTGGAAAATATAAGGACTTTTGGAAATGAAATGATGTAAAATCTTGATGGTATCGGGCCCGTATTTTGGTTCCGGAGCCCGGTATAGGTTTAATATAATATTTATGTCATATCTGTGAAATATGGTAAGAATCGGAGTTGATTTGGTATAAATGGAACCCTTGGTTGCGAAAATAGAAATTTGAACTATCTTGTGAAATTCATGAGTTTTGGTGTTAAATTCGTTGTTTGAGATGTTATTTTGGCAATTTGATCGCACGAACAAGTCCGTATGATATTTTTAGACTTGTGTGCATGATTGGTTTGGAGCCGCGAGGGCTCGGGTGAGTTTTAGATAGGCCATAGAGTGTTTTGGACTTAGGAAACTCATCGGTGCATCTGGTATTTTTGCACAGGCCTCTGATCTCGCAATTGCGAGATCAGGCTTCGCAATTGCGAAGTGAGCAGGCCTGGGAAATGCGACCAATATGTCACAAATGCGAACCAGGCCTGGGCAGGCCCTCATCGCAAATGCGAACACTGGGCCGTAAATTGCGAAGGCCCTCTGTCGCAAATGCGACATTTCCTTCGCAAATGCGAAGGTAGCAGACTTCCAAAGGGTTCGCAATTGCGAACCCTTGACCGCAATTACGATATGTACGACCTGTTAAGTGGAATTTCAGATGGGATTTTATATCGTTTTACACTTCTCTCAAACCCTAAACATCCTTAGGCGATTTTTCAAAGACTCAAACTTTTTCAAATCATAGTAAGTGATTTCTAGCTCAGTTTCTTCAATCCATTTCATCTTTTTACATGATTTCATTTCAAAATCTAGGGTTTTTCATGGGAAATTGGGTGTTCTTGGGTAGAAATTAGGATTTCGAATTTTGGTGATTTGGACCTCAATTTGAGGTCTGATTTCAAAACTAATTGCATATTTGAGTTCGTGGGTGAATGGGTAATCGGGTTTTGGTTCGAACTTCGAGTTTTGACTAAACGGGCCCGGGGTCGGGTTTTGACTTTTTGAAAAAAATATTGGGAAATTCATATTCATGCATTAGAATTGGTTTAATTAGCATTTATTGATGTATTTGAATTAATTATGGCTAGATACGTGTGAATTGGTGGTGGAATCGAGAGGTAAAGCGGTGATTGAGTGTTGAATTGTCCGTTGGCTTGAGGTAAGTGTTTGGTTTAACCTTGACTTGAGGGAATAGGAATTCCCGACTTATGTGTTAAATAAAATATCATGTGCGTGGTGTATAGGTGTGGTGACGAGTGCCTATGCGCCACCAAATTTCCATTTTTTTTGTTTCCCTTCCCCGTTTCCTATTATACTATTTCTCGTCTTATTTGCTACCTGCTTAAACTGTTTTCATACCTTAATTGTTATTTGATCATAAATGATCCCATGCCTTAATTGCTACTTGATCTTAAATGCTTACATGCATTAATTTCTACTTGATCACAAATTTTCTCTATCTAATTGCTTCATGTTAGCGGTTGTTCTCTTCATTGAATTATTTAATTGTTACATGTTAGTTGTTGATGTTTCCGTTGAGGTATTATTGGTTGCGTAGGTTCATTTTATTATCCCGTTGGTTTATATGGATTCATTAGTGCCTTATGGTGCACGTTTGTTGGTCTCGCTGATTTGGTTTCATGACTGAAGTTTCATAATCGTAGCGAAATTCCTTTGTGTAGTGAAGTATAAGAATTGTGGAAATTGAGTTAACTTGTGAAACACCTTGTGTTATTCTTGTAATTGGTGTTGATATATACATATGTTGGGATCGGGTTGCACGCCGCAACAGGAGGAATAAGGGAGATTTGTGATTGTCTAGTGGGATCGGGTTGCACGCCGCAATAAGGAGTAATAAGGGTGGACAGGTGGGATCGGGTTGTGCGCCGCAACAGGAGGGATAACGGTGATATGTGTTGAGGAGCAATAAGGGAGGACATGTGGGATCGGGTTGCGCGCCGCAACAAGGAGGAATAAGGGAGAATATTGATACTGTTATTGTTGGAAATATTGATATTGTTATTCTTTATATGGTGGGATCGGGATGCACGCCGCATCAGTTATTGTTTTTGGCATTTATTTATGTTGAAGTTATTATTGAGGTATTGAAATTCCCTAAGGATTGGTTATAGTTGAATACTAGTAAGCTGATTGGGTCCTGTGTTCCTTTAATGCAAGTTCCAGTTATTTTTCATTTCGTGCTTTTTTTCTGTTATTATGAACTGTTACAGGTTATATATATTGTTATGCCCCGTCGTAACCTTGTCACTACTTCGTTGAGGTTAGGCTCGGCACTTACCAGTACATGGGGTCAGTTGTAGTGATACTACACTCTGCACTTCTTGCGCAGATCCCAGTGCTGGACCATATGGACCGTAGATCGAGGTTGCTGCCTTCAGTCCAGTGGAGACCCAAGGTAGTCCTACAGGCGTCCGCAGGCCTTGGCGTCCCCTTCTATCTTGCTTCTTTTCTGTTTTACCTATTTCTGAGACAGATTTGTATTTTCCTGTTCAGACCACTATTTGTAGTATTCGTAGACAGTTCGTGAAATTGTGACACCAGTTCTGGGTGAAGTTTTATTATGGATTTCGTATTAGTATTAAGATAAACTGTTAAATTATGTTCTTTCGCATTTTGATTTTCGCTATTTTCTTATATTATCGGGTAAATTGTTAAAGATAAAGGAAAAAGGTAAAATAATCAATAACGTTGGCTTGCCTAGCGGGTTCAATGTTAGGCGCCATCACGGTCCCGACGGAGGGAAATTCGGGTCGTGACATTTATTGAGAAATTTTTGTCAATTTATTAATTATTATAACTTATGATTATATGTTTATCATAAAATAAATTATATTTATCAGTAAAATTATCTTATCTAAGCACAGTTGTATTTAAAATAAAATGACAAATAGAATATTTTGTATTTGAATCGATCTAGAATCTAAAATTTTGAATAAATTAAGCCATTATAAGTGTAAACAGTTCTAAGGTTATTTAAGTCATTTTAACAGAAAAAGTTCTTATCAGCACTTTTTTATCAAATACTACAGCAACTTATTATCAATTTCAGCACTTGTACCCAAACACGTAACTGCTTATTTATTAAATCAGTTTCAGCACTTAAAAGTGTTTTTCAACACCTAATGCTTATCAGCTACTTCAAATCAGCTAATCCAAACGGGCGCTAAATTTTGTCATTAGTACTTCATTTCAAATTTTCTTTGTTTGTAAAGTGATTTTATTTGAGATGGTTAATTTTTTCAACTATGCTCTGCATGGATAAGGAGAAAACTCTTCAATTAAATAAAAGAGAGTATATTTAACTCAAATTTTATTGTTGGACTCTAATTTTATTATAGTAATTTATTCTTTTTTAATCTGCAGAAACAATTTATATTGTATTTTTTATTGATTAATGACATAGAATAATTTGCAACAGAAAAGAAGACTATGTTATGTGTCTTTTTGAATGAACTTGAAAAGTGCTTCCCTAAAAAATTTTCAAATACCGAAACTAAGTCTAAATTGAATATAATAAATGACGATTGGGGACTTCTATGGGACGGAGCTTTTTTTTATTTTTTTATTATTGAGTTAGATATATAGGATCAACATTCATGAATTTTAGAAATTTATATTTTATATATAACAAAAACACAATTGGCATATATTAATTATGTGATTTAAAAAAATTATTCATCGAGATAGAATACACGCCCAATGCACTTACCCTGTGACTAGTTACTTTATAAACCGTGCAATGTATTCTCATTTGAATTTTGATGTTCTATTGTTTGAAGAGTTGAGAAGAGCAACCTTTTCATGGTTTCCATTTTAAGTTATACATAAATCTTTTCATTTCAAAACAGTTTAAATTGTTTGACATTATTTTATTTGTATATAACTTCTACAACTTTAAAGAATTATGATATCAAACTAACTAAGTTTTCAGTTTCTATTTTGATATTTTGTACTTCAAAATTCGTTCAAGTAGAATGCAACATAAAAATATAATGGTATATTAAATGATGAATACTATAAAAGTAAGGGGATCAGAAATAGCCTAATTTTTACAAATTAAAAAATAGCCCAGTTTTGAAATTAATCGAAATTTAGCTATTTTTTCATGTAAAGATAAAATCTGGAAAAAAATATCCTTAAAATCCGGAAAAAATCCAGCATAATATGGTGGAGTTCAAATTTTTTACATATGAAACTCCAGCATAATATACTAGAACTTCATAATGTGCTGGAGTTCCAACATAATATGTTGGAAGTTTATACACAGGAGCTCCATAATCCAGCATATTATGCTGGAATTTCCGTATTTCAGCTAGGGTATTTTGTCCAAATTTTATCGCCACATGCTATTTTTCAATGACTTTGCAAACGCTGACTATTTTTCGATTACCCGTCAAAAAACCGGCTAGCCCATACTATTTCCAAAAGTATCAAACATTATCCAATTGTACTGGTAACTGGCCCATTTTGAAAGGAAAGGATGTAACTTATTTGCATGTGATATATGTCCTACAGTCACTCTTTTACTAACTGCAGGGAGCAGAATATGATAGCTAACTAATTTACTAAAATCCTACTTACCACAGTAACTTTAATTATGTCTATATATAGATAGCTCATATCTCTTCACTGTATAACACAAACCATTCAGTGAAATATGGCAACCATGAACAATATGCTCATGATGTTAATGGTGACTGCAATTTTGTTTTGCAGCCACCAACAAGCGGCCACGGCGAGAGAAGTGGCCGTGGCCGATGACAGGAACGAGTTACAACTACTCTGGCCATGGGAAATTCCATGTTATTTGACCTGGCCATTCCCGTGGCCACCACCACCGCCATGGCCATGCCCTCCTCCACGTCCACGACCACGACCACGGCCACGACCATGCCCTAGCCCTCCTCCACCACCACGCCCACGACCACGACCATGCCCTAGCCCTCCTCCACCACCACGACCACGACCACGACCATGCCCTAGCCCTCCTCCGCCACCACAACCACGACCACGACCAAGCCCTCCACCACCATCCCCACCCCCTCCCGCCCCGAGTTCGAGCTGCTCAGCTAGTGACGAAGCAAAGATTTACAAGTGCATGTTCAACGAAACTGAAATTGATCCATGCTGCCCAACATTCAAGAGCATACTTGGTGCAAGTTGCCCTTGCTATAAATATGCAGAGAATTTGGATAATCAAGTGTTAATTACTATTGAATCTTACTGTGATGTTGATAGCCCTTGCAAGGGTGTTCAGGTAAGTTATAACCCCCTTCTATCATTTTTTATATGTCGTTTAAGATTTTGACACACTTTTAATAGCACTAATCATGATGTGTAATTGACTAAATTACCCTTACTTTTCCCATAAATGAGTGATAAATGATTGTACGTCTTCTTCAAACATTAAGGGTGGAATCGGGATAAAAACTAGTTTTCTAAAACACATACATGTCGTTTGTCAATTTTTTTTCAATTTTTTTCTTCAAAAATGTGTTTGTCCATAAAATTTTACAAGCTTTTGGAAATTTTTCGAAAATGAGTTTATCAAAATGATTTTGACCATTTTTTCAAAAAATTTCAGAATTATTTTTTCCACTCACCAAAATTACAATATTTTTTCAAGTGAAATACATGTCCAAGTATAATTTTAAATACCATTTTTCAAATTAACTCCAAATATATAATTTTTAGTCCAAACGCCTACATAAATTGTGAGCTTTTGCATTTCAAACAGTTCATTGTTTTCCTTTTCTTTTCTTCACTTTTTCAAATTGTTTTTCTATTTGGTGAAGTAGTTCTTCGTTTAAAAATATATACAGTGCCTAATGCTGCATTATGTTAATTAATTTTAGGTGATTAAGCTGTCCAAGGAGGAGGAGAAGAAGAAGTAATTAAAAATAAAGTATTAGTGTTTAATTCCAAATCATGTATTAGTAGATGATTTGCTATTAGTTATCCTTTATGTTGAAAGTCTCTAAGTTATGTTTTTTGTCTTCCTTGTTGTGTTTCAGAAATAACTTGACATATCTGTCAAAATCTTAGTACTAATAATAAGAATATTATAATACTGTTATAAATAAAATTTTATTTATGGTGAATGTCTATATTTAGAGAGATTCTAGGGTTTATTACTTGGTGGCTAAGTCACCCTCTCCCTATAAATAGAGGGTTCTATTCCATTTTAATTCATCCCAAAAGTTCAATAAGAATTCCCTCTCTCTCTTTCTCTGCAATATTGTTCTTCTACTTTTATTATTTTATTACACGTTATCAGCACGAGACTCTAACCAATTGAGTAGAAGCTTTGGGATTGAGCATAATGATTGTCAATTATTCCATAAACTTCCTTCATGATTAAATTCTGGATTTAAGGTAAGTATTTTACCGTATTTTTCTCTCTTATTCTGTACTTTGATTTTAAATACAAGCAAAGACAACAAAGTTTGATTATAACTCTAATGGAGTTTGTAAGAAATTATAACCACCTGAAGTGGTAAAGTTTCTATGCCTCGTCATGATCAAATTCATGTATGATTGTGGGCAAAGAATTGAAAACTCGTCCCATTGAATTTGCTCCATTCTCATTCCCTTAAGAGAATGTGATAGCAGTATGTGATAAGTCTGAAAGAAGACAAAATTATTACTGTGAATGTATCAATGGATATGGACGTGGCAATAGACGAAATTATAATCGTCATCATTTGTGGTAATGAGAAAATAAGGATTCTCAAAATAATCTTTCACTCTGTGAAAAACATTTGCATCGATTTGACATGAGATTTTGTAAAGCACATATAGATGATTATGGTCCATTCATGATGTGAATGTGATAACATCTGATTTATGAATACATATTCATTCTTGGAAGAATATGAACGTGCTAGTGGTAGTGAATATACCACACTCACCTCTAGAAGGAGGTTTGAGATGATATAAGAAATCAATGTCATTATTATGGCATGAATGGTCATTGGTCACATACCTATTGTACGCCAAAATATTTTGGCATTGTGATTGTTAAAAGACAACGGTAATGCAAGAAACAGATCTTGCATATAATTTTGACCATAACCATAATGGTATAACTTTCTCTTTAAAAGAGATATTCACCATATGGGTGTTGATGAATATGTGGTACTACAAAATTAATCGAGAACTCTGGGAGAGCCAATTATACTATTTTGGAGAAACACAATTAATTACCAATAAGGTATTGTGTTGTAGTAAGACTCAAAGAAACTTATTCAGTTTCCAAAGTATACGCGAAAGCGGTTGATTATATTGAGACTATAAATAAAGGAAAGATTTAATATCTTCTATTAGTACAACTTGTAGCGAGGTAATATGTATGTGAAAAGCTACCCGCTTTATTCTCCAATTTGTACTACATAAACAAAAGAATACCACAATGAAATGAATATTTATTGATATAAAAACCCATATTTATTCATAATTGCACACATCATGGTGTAAACCTGGAGTTTATCAATATTGATAATTTATCCAGTTGGCATAATTGGTTTAGCCATGTTAATTCAAGTATGATGTGCAAAAATAAAAGAGAATTCACATGGGTAAATATTAAAGAACTAGAAAGTTCTTTACGAATTCTCTTACATTGCTTGTTCTCATTAATTAATAGACCAATTAAAATTGGGATTGAATCCCACGAATGCTGGAAATATCAAAGGTGAATATGGGCCCATTCACCTGCCATGTATACCACATAAGATGCATCTATGAGATGGTTACATGTGCAATTATTATTGACCCGCAACCTGGTGTTTGCGAGGTAACTTGCTCAATAATTTAATATAGAGCATAATTTCCAGATTTTTTATTCAAGATAGTTCTTCTTGATAAGTTGGTTTACATCACAGTTGGTTTAGCAAAATAATTTATTGAGTGCCTCCACTTAATAGCTAAACTATTGCTTATGAGAACAAAGTTATATTATATCAGTTTGATATACGTTATATACGAAAGTATATTATTTTCTCCCCTCACAAGTGGTTCAGGGTCAGGAACCAAATAATTCCATCTTATTATTATTGATGTGCGGTGTATATTATGATTAACACCATAACGCACAAAGATGGGTTCTCAAAGTTGAGGAAACAAGTTAGTTTTTCTTGCGTGTATCTTCTAGATGGTCTCATGTGTGCCTATTGTCATCACGCAACCTCGCGTTTGCAAAATTAATGGCACAAATAATTCGATTACGGGCGCAATTCCCCGATAATCCAATTAAGTCTATTAGACTTGATAATGCTGCTGAGTTTTCATCCCAAGCATTTAATGATTATTGCTTATCAATTGGGATAAAAATGGAACATCCTGTAGCTCATGTTCACACTCAAAATGGCCTTGCAGATTCTTTAATTAAACGTCTGCAATTGATAGCAAGACAGTTACTCATGAAAACGAGGTTACCCACTTCTGTTTGGGGTCACGTCATTTTGCATGCAGCAATGCTAGTTTGTCTCAGACCGACAAATTATCATAAATATTCCCCGTTGCAATTAGTTTTGGGTCATGAACCTAATATATCCCATTTAAGAATTTTTGGATGCGCAGTATATGTGCCTGTAGCACCACCATATCGCACCAAAATGGGTCCGCAAAGAAGGTTAGGAATATATGTTGGGTTTGAATCGCCCTCCATTAGTCGCTACCTCGAAACATTGACGGGGGATTTGTTTACTGCGCGATTTGCAGACTGTCGATTCGATGAGACAATTTCCCAAAATTAGGGGGAAAATTTGGTGAAACCAAACGGAAAATTTTGTGGAAAAATCCATCATTATCTCATCTTGATCCACGTGCCTCTATTTGTAAAAAAGAGGTGCAAAAGATTATCCATTTGCAGAGAATAGCAAATCAAATGCCAGACGCATTTACGGATTTGAAAAGGATAACAAAATCATATATCCATGCAGAGAATATTCCAATCCGTATTGATGTCCCTATTGGACAATCTTCTAGTGTCATAGCTAATGAGTCAAAAGCACGCCTAAAACGTGGCAGACCATTAGGTTCCAAAGATCAAAATCCTAGAAAAAGGAAAACAAATGATCAAAAAGACACTACGAAAGAATCTCATGAAGGAATCCACGATTTAATAAAGTGAGGATCTTGAACCTCAATCTGTTGGAGAATGTCGACAAAGACTTGATTGACCAAAATGGCAAGAAGCAATCCAATCATAGTTGAATTCACTTGCAAAATGTGAAGTTTTTGGGCCTGTAGTCCAAACACCTAATGGTGTTAAGCCTGTTGGCTATAAATGGGTCTTTGGACGCAAGAGAAATGAGAAAAACGAGGTACAAAGATATAAGGCACGCCTTGTTGCACAAGGATTTTCACAAAGGCCTGGTGTCGATTTTGAAGAGACATGTTCACCCGTTATGGATGCTATAACTTTCCGTTGATCTCATTAGTTTTGCTGTCCATGAAAAGCTTGACATGCATTTAATGGATGTGATTACCGCCTACCTTTATGGCTCACATGATAATGAGATATACATGAAAATTCCCGATGGATTTAAAATGCCAAACGCACATAATTCAAAGTCCCGGGAAATGTTTTCAATCAAATTGCAAAGATCTTTGTATGGTCTAAAGCAATCAGGACGAATGTGGTATAATCGTCTTAGTGAGTATTTATTAAAGGAAGGCTATATAAATGATGTTATTTGCCCATGTGTTTTTATAAAGAAAACAACATCGGAATTTGTTGTACTTGCCGTATATGTTGATGACATAAACCTTGTGGGAACTCCTATAGAACTCCAAAAGGCAATTGATTATTTAAAGAAGGAATTCGAGATGAAAGATCTCGGAAAGACAAAATTATGTCTTGGTTTGCAAATTGAACATTTGGCAAACGGAATTTTCGTCCATCAATCTGCCTACATAGAAAAGGTATTGAAATGGTTTTACATGGATGGAGCACATCCATTAAGTACTCCGATGGTTGTTCGATCACTTGATGTGAATAAGGATCCATTCGGACCTCAAGAAGAGAATGAAGAGCTACTTGGTCCTGAAGTACCATATCTTAGTGCAATTGGTGCACTAATGTATCTTGCCAATACTACAAGGCCTGACATAACGTTTTCAGTTAATGTCTTAGCAAGATATAGCTCTGCTCCCACAAGGAGACATTGGAATGGGATCAAACACATATTGCGGTATCTAAAAGGGACTACTGATATGGGCTTATTTTATGGCAATAATTGCAGTCCTGATCTTGTTGGTTATGCCGATGTTGGATATTTATCCGACCCACACAAGGCTCGATCTCAAATAGGTTATGTGTTTACCTGTGGAAACACTGCCATATCTTGACGATTGACTACGCAATCAATTGTGGCTACTTCATCTAATCATGCTGAGATAATTGCTATTCATGAAGCAAGTCGAGAGTGTGTGTGGTTGAGGTCTATAATACACCTTATTCGAGACAAATGTGGTTTGAAGTGTGACAAACTATCCATAATTTTGTATGAAGATAATGCAGCATGCATAGCTCAATTGAAGGGAGGATTCATAAAAGGAGATAGGACAAAGCACATTTCACCAAAGTTATTCTTCACACATGATCTTCAAAAGAATGGTGATATCAATGTGCAACAGATTCGTTCAAGTGATAATATGGCTGATTTGTTCACAAAATCCCTACCAACGTCAACCTTCAAGAAGCTAGTGTACAAGATTGGGATGAGAAGGCTCAAGGATGTGAATTGATGCTCTCATCAGGGGGAGTAAATGCGCGCTCTTTTTTCCTTACAGGGTTTTGTCCCACTGGGTTTTCCTTGCAAGGTTTTTAACGAGGCAACCAAAAGGCGTATTATTAGATGTGTACTCTTTTTCCTTTTCTAGAATTTTTTTTCCCACTGGATTTTATTTTAGTTAAGGTTTTAACGAGGCACATTATCTGTTGAATAGACATTCAAGGGGGAGTGTTATAAATAGAATTTTATTTATGGTGAATGTCTATATTTAGAGAGATTCTAGGGTTTATTACTTGGTGGCTAAGTCACCCTCTCCCTATAAATAGAGGGTTCTATTCCATTGTAATTGATCCCAAAAGTTCAATAAGAATTCTCTCTCTCTTTCTCTGCAATATTGTTCTTCTACTTTTATTATTTTGTTACAAATACATAAAATCTCTCATCTTGTTTATTTTCACGTACGATTGATTTTTTCCTAATTCTTTAGAATGTTCATCTAATTCTATTTGAAAAAGTCCTGATTTACAATCAAACTTGGAATATATCTAACTATATTTATCTTTTTGAACATTAATTCTTTTCGTGATAAAGGTTAACTATAAGCATCGACTAACTCCGTACCAGCAACCACAATAATACAGACGACGTAAGCATTATCCGGAATAATTAGGCATCGACTAACTCTGTACCAAAAAACTTGCATCAATTATAATAAGATCATAACTTAGCATCAAAGCCGGATTTAGGGCAGTTTTACGTGTTCAAATGAATACATTGCATTTGCCTCAAACTATGTTACATATGAAGAAAAAAAAATTGAAAACATAAACATATAATAATAAGGTCAAACTGAGCATGTTAGAACTTATTGATCCTAAATTCCAAATTCGGTTCGATTGAGCAGCAAAATCGCGACGATTCAAGTTGACTTAAGTCTATCCTTCATGGATAAAATTAATGGTGACAAAATGGTTAAAATATTAGTTCCGCTCATATTATCCACTAAAAAATGAATTGATAGTGAACTTTTAAAAATGGGCAAAATATGGCTAGGATCCATATTATTCACTTAATAAATAAATACTTAATGGATAATTAATGGGGCATTTGCATCTATACCCGTTTTTTGAGTCACGTTTTAACTTGTACCCGCTTTGCCAAAAAAATTGCAAGCATACCCACTTTTTTGCGTAACTTCAGTATACGGGCCTGAAGTAGCAAAGGCAATCACGCAAACTTCAGCATTCTAGTAGACGGGCCTGAAGTAGCAAAAATTGCTGAACCAAGTGTGCTGAAGTTTTTGTTTGTAATTGCTGAACTTCAGCATGTTTTAGTTGAAGTTTTTCACGTAAACTTAGTGTTGGCTGAAATTTTTGTTTGTAATTGCTGAACTTAAGCATTCTAGTAGCTGAAGTTTTGTTCTCTATTTGCTGAAGTTTTTGTTTGTAATTGCTGAACTTAAGCATTCTAGTAGCTGAAGTTTTGTTCTCTATTTGTTGAAGTTTTTGTTTGTAATTGCTGAACTTCAGCATGTTTTAGCTGAAGTTTTTCACGTAAACTTAGTGTTGACTGAAGTTTTTGTTTGTAATTGTTGAACTTAAGCATTCTAGTAGCTGAAGTTTTTTTCTCTATTTGCTGAACTTCAGCATGTTTTAGCTGAAGTTTTGTTATAAATTTTCTGAACTTCAGCATGTTTTATGCTATCATGTAATTGATTTTTTGTACAGATAATAAGTTTATCATAAGTAGAATTAGTAACTTAAAAAACTAGATAAATGATTTAGCACAACAGGTTAAAATACATTGATAATGTATAAAGCTGAATCAAACAAGTTACTATCATCTTCTTCAGAACTTACTTTAGAAAGTTATTTATAATTTGTTTTTAAATAATCTGATAAATATACTTATGGCAATCATCCCCATGAAACTGAAGTTTCATAGCAGCACCAACAGCAGTAGAAGAAAGAAGAAGAAAAAGAAGAAGAAGAAGAAGAAGAAGAAAACGAAGGAGGAGAAGGAGGAGGAGAAAGGGGCTGAAGTTGTTTAAAAAGTGGGTACAAGTTAAAACTTTTAAAAAAAAAATGGGTATAGGTTAAATGGGGGCGACCAAATAGGGCGCCCCGTGTAATTTTTACATAATAAATTGGTTTAACTTTTACATTTACAAAACTCAAAATTAGAATTCCTTAAATTTGAGAGACTAGAAATTATCCCAAAACTGATCACATTCAAGAAGCCATACTCATATTATTAACCAGTTAAGCCATTTTCTATCTGTATTAAATATGAGTGGGTCAAATATTTTATCCGTTTTTACATTATTATTTGACCCGTACATATCCGACCGACCCGCCCCACCCGTTTGCCACCCCAAGACAAGAGTGATCAATAGTTTAGGCACAGGGAGATGACAAGTAATATACAGATTTTATTGTAACTTCAATTATGAAGCTAAATCTAAAGGGCAGCTATCAGAAGAATGATGACTATTTTGATAAAGGATATGGTCATGAATCCAACTGTTGATGTCATTTATTCGAATTTAAAAGCTAACCCACTTTTAAAAATAGCCCCATTCTTATTAAACTACCCAATTTGTACATATTGTCAATTTTTTTTATATTATTTTTTTGGTAAGAGAGAAACTCACAATCGCGACAACCTCTGCCACAGCCTCTGTCCTTCGGGTGACCACTTTGTGCGCACCGAGTAAACCTCTCCCGTGGAGATATAAACCGCACTAGGCAAACCTTGTGCAACATGCTTAAACCCAGAAGGCATTGAAGGGGATGACCGCCCATGACCAGTAAAATTGTAGACATACACAAAAACTCAGTACCTTTTAGATTGCTCATTTTAGTCTTCCCAAAGGCATATAACTTAAAACTGGTAGTTCATTACATAAAGATTACATACTAAAGGGAGGTGGAGGATGCATTTTGTTCCTCAATTTTTACCCTTCGTTTTCTCTCTGTTTCATCAAACATAAACCTCCCTTTACTTACAAGTACAAAACACTAGCTAAATTAACTTCAAATCCATAGTACATACTTAGACTCTTAGACTCAGACCAAACATAACCAAAGACCAATTCCAAATTCCAAGTTCAGAGTTTGTTTTTGTACCAGAAAACACCTTTGCCTTGAGAAGCTTCATCTTTCTCAACATAGATACACTCTTTTGCTTCCCTCCACATCGCCTTGAAAACCGGGGTTCCATCGAATTGGTAGTAGTCTCCGAGTAATGGCTTGACTGCTTTTGTTGCCTCCATTGCGTTGTAGTGTGGCATGGTTGAGAACAGATGGTGTACGACGTGAGTGTCGGTGATGTTGTGGAAGACCTTGTTTAGAATGCCATAGTCTCTGTCGACGGTTGCCAAAGCTCCCCTTAGCCAATCCCACTCGGATGAATCGTAGTGAGGCAATGACGGGTGAGTGTGCTGCAAATAAGTGATCAAGACAAGGAAGCCATTCACGATTAGGAGGGGTACGCCATACATACACACGAGCCAAGCTAGCCCTTTTACCAAGGCAATACGATATAGTAGATAACCAGCTCCAAGAACTCCAGCATCAGAAAGGAAGATCTGTAGCCTCTCGCGGTCATTGTAGATTGGGCCGTAAGGGTCATAGTGACATGCAAAGCGATCATAATGTCGGCCAGAAACATTGAAAGCCAAGTACAATGGCCAGCCAAGAGTAAGGGTGATTGTAAGTGAAATAACCCTGCCAGGTGGATTGTTCAAGTACTTGGAATACCATCCGAGTTGTGATTTCGGCTTAGGCACAAAGACCTCATCACGCTCGAGAGAGCCAGTGTTGGAGTGGTGGCGACGATGACTATATTTCCAAGAGAAGTACGGGACCATCAGAGCAGAGTGGAGGATAAGCCCAACAGTGTCATCGACCCACTGGTAATCACTAAAGGCATGGTGGCCACATTCGTGCGCAATAACCCAAATACCAGTGCAAACACAACCCTGACAAATCCAATAAATAGGCCATGCAATGTAGCAATACGGGGACGGGAGGAGGTGAAAGTAAGTGGTGGCAATGTAGTACAAGATGGACACCAGTATAAGGTCATACACCACATAGGAGAAGGAACGAACGAGAGAACGCTGAAAGCAGTGAGGTGGGATGGCCTTCTTGATATCACCAACTGTGAAAGGGGGCTTTGAGGTTGGTACCTTTTCAAGAGGATTCTTCTTTTCGCCGGTCTTGCCGGTTACAACAGACATATTACCGCCGGCTCCCATTTTCGCTTCCTTACCTCTTCAATCCCGAACCTGCAAAATGTACGTTAGTCTTGCTTCACTTAACAATTCGCCGATTATTTTCTTGATATAAGATAATCTATAAGCAAACAGATCAATGCATAAAAGAAAGAAAAATTAAACATTTGCAAAATAAGTGTGGTCCCATAATGTATCCACCCCACAATCAATAAAGTCAAGAACCAAATCAGACATGAAAGGTCTTGATTTAGAGATCAAACTATCATTGGCAGAGAAGAAGTACCAAATCAACAATTCAATCAACTGACAGAAACATGAGGTCTATAGCAACAGGGTCCACATAAAATTCCAAAACAGAAATATGAGGCCAGAAATTGTCACTCATTTATAACTCAAATACAGAAACATAAAGAAGACTAATACATCAAAAGATTCACATTATGCACAGATACACAATCATAATACAGCACATTACAGCTATACCTAATAAATGCCCAAATCAAAGTCATTATCACCACAAATTTTCATGAATCATAGAACTAAAGTTGCAAAGATCAGCAAATATGTAGATTATAACCAAGTGCATAGTGCCTAAACCAAAGGGCAGCCCGGTGCACAAGGCATCCCGCGTTCACATAGGGCCCGGGGAAGGGCCGCACCCCAAGGGGCGTGATGCATACAGTCTACCATAATCCAAGCATTAGAGGTTGTTTCTACCGCTTGAACCCCAAGGTACAAAAAATACTGAATAACTGATAATCAGACAGCAAACCACTTATACTGGATGGGGAAAACCTGAATGAAATGAAACTTTTTCATGGGAAAGGAATGTTTCATCATTTGCATATTAGGTAAATGTGTATATAACACACACATACATACATACACAAGAAAATTGACTACAAAGAGTTGGCATCAATCATTCATTTTTCATCACTTGAACTAGAAGTAGATTGTACCTAATGCCAAAAGAATATTAGGCCAGTTTCCACATCTAAACAACTTGACAAGAAGTAGATTAATAAGAGTTCCCTCGAGAAAAGAATATCATCACTCTGTGTACTACGCCAAATATAATGCTTTCTCACTGGCCGTAGGCCAATAAGTACTATAAGGGCAGCCCGGTGCACTAAGCTCCAGCTATTTGTGGGGTCTGGGGAAGGGCCGAACCACAAGGGCCTATTGCAGGCTAATAAGTACTATTTTTATCAAATTCAATATATCATTAAAAAGGGCAGCCAGTGCACAAAACATCCCGCATTCACACAGGGTCCAAGGAAGGGCCACACCCCAAGTGATGTTATAGACAGCCTACCTTATTGCAAGTATTAGTGGTTGCTTCCACGGCGCGAACGCGTGACCTATAGGTCACACGGAGACAATTTTACCGTTGCTCGATGGCTCCCCTTCGACATATCATTAGATTAAATCAATTTTCAAACATACTCCAATCTCTCAACCAGTGAAAACTCAACAACTAATGACAATATAAGTAGCTTAATTAAGTTTCTATATGTATAATTAGAGTTTGCTTACTCTGAAATAACTTCTACAGGTAGTTCACATTTCCTACACGTTATTCGACTTTTTCCAGTTCCTTCAAATTCAAAACATTGCAACAGTGATGTGATAACATCAATATTAATTTAATTAATTAAAGAAGAAAAATTAGGCTGGTGCTACTCAACGATAATGCCGGTTATTGACTTTAAGCTAGGACCATTGGACCCTCATCTATTAATTAAAAGGTAAACAATTAATAACATCCACCAACCAACCAATTAAAATAGACAGCAAAAGTAATTAAAAAGTATAGCACTACTACAACATTAATTTTCCAGGTCATAAATCACTTCTCACATCCACCTCTAGGGAGAAATCCTATCAAAAATTTTAGAGAATAAAATATTGAAGGTATGCCATTTGGCCACTTAGGCCACTTGTGTTTTGTTTTTTACTTGTGAGAGAATAGATAAGTCTCAACCATAACATTTGTATTCTGTGCTTATATACCAAAAGGGGTCTATCGGAAATGATCTCTCTATCTTCACAAGGTAGGATAAGGTCTGCATACACACTATCCTCCCTAAATCCCACTTGTAGGACCGCACTGCGTATGTTGTTGTCATTGTCAGGGGCAGATTTAGGGGGCGGAAGGGGATTAGCCGGACCCATCCAATTTGTATCTCTGTATATTATATTTTGAATCCCCTTGATACAGCCCAAAAGCATAGCTCAGTGGTCAAAGGGGTTGCCGGTTCAATCCCCACTGGCCACAATTTCTTTTACGTAATTTTTTAACTTTTTCCTTTTTTTGAACCCCCTCCAAAAATCCTGTCTCTGCCACTGGTTGTTGGTGTTGTAAAAACCACTATACCAATCAACCAAATTGGTACTACTACCTACACCAGAATTCCTTCTCCTCTCTTTTTTTAAGAAAAATATAAAATTTCCAGCACAAAGTACGCTAGCTAATTTCTTCTCATCTACACGATGTACCAGGGACCCATGCCGCATGCCGCAGTAGTGGGGAGACGTACTGAGAGATACCTAGTGGAATAGTCGAGGTCAATGCAAACTAACTCGAACCCCACCATCGTTAAAACGAAAAAATATAACCAAAAGAAAATACCTAGCACAAAAACTGTATAGTAAATCTTGACCATTCAAAGGAGTACTACTCTGATTTATGTCCCCATCTGGGAAGTACAGAATCTTTAGGCAGTCATTTGAAATAATTACTATGATATGTACTTTGAATCTAATCAAATACTGTGAACCTATTTCCTTTTTGGTCCGTTCAAAAAAGAATGGTCCCTTTCTAAATTTGGTAATAATTTTAACTTAAACTTACAATTCTACCCTTAATGAGAGCTTTATAACCACACAAATGCTTTGGCCCCCTTTTTGGCTTGTTTAGGACCACATATTCCAAAAGTCTTCATTTTTTCTTAAACTCCGTGTCCAGTCAAACAGGTTCACATAAATTGGAACGGAGGGAGTATGATTTTATTTTTAATAGATTTTTATTGTTCAGATTCTAAGCAGTAATAAGATCAATGATTTTCATAAAAGCTAATGCTTTTACAAAAATTGATAACCCAAAGTAGATATTCAAAATCATTTTTCAAAATCCTCTTTAGAAAAAGAAATTCAAAACATACAAACAACTCAGCCGCTGCGGTACCTACTGAAACATGTGAATAGAAAAAAAATTTAAAAGAAAAAGACTTTGTGAGGTCAATAGAAGCAAGAATCACTTTTTCTTTTTTCTTTTTTTTTCATGATGGAAAAGTAGATTTGTCAAAATCATAACGCCCCACATAATGATTTGAACAAATCAAATCGAAATTAAAAAAATGAGTAACACACAAAAAAAGACTGATATAAATTATAAGCAAAGATTGATTTGGCCGGTAGCCGCCACCTAAAAAAGATTAAAAATTTCATTTTTCTACCCTCAAACACTTTTCAAATTCTCACATTAAACATGCTCCAAAAACTCAAAGTTTGTGAAAAATGTGTACTTACCGCTCTCAAGCAAAAGAAAAAAAAAAACATAAAAATAGTATTTTTAAAATACTAATCATTCAAAAATCAAAACCAAAAGATTTCTCTGCTTACATAGCTCATGCATGCAAATTCTTTATTTCTGCAAAAAACTAAAATAAACCCAGAGAATTACCTATCACAAAAAGTTTTTTTTTTTAAAAAAAAAAACATTTTTTCTCTACAGATGACTCATGCATGCAAAAATTCACACAAAAACATAAATTAAAGGCTTTTTCTGACAAATTTAAATTTGTGACCCTGCCTCTGTAAAATCTAAAGAGAAACCTACGCTCTTAATTAGAAGTCTTGGGTTCAAGTCTCCTGGGCACCAAGTCTTATCTAGCATGAATCCAGATTAATCAGAATCTCAATTAAAAGAAACCCAAAAAATTACATTTCACAAAATAGTTTTTAAAAAAACACACTTTTTCTCTAAATATGGCTCATGCATGCAAAAATTTACACACAAAACAGAAATCATAGGCCTTTGTGACAAATTTAAATATATGACTGTTCTTGCAAAGTCTAAAAAGAAATCTTAATTCTTAATTAGAAGTCTCGGGTTCAAAAGTCTCTCCTTTAACAAGCCTTATGTAGCGCAAATCCAAATTAATCAGATGACGTAGCTCGAATCCAAATTAATCAGAGCTCGAATCCAGATTAATCAGAGCCCCAATGCGAGCACCAGACATGGAAAATCAAAGAAAAACTAAAGAGAAACCCATTACAGATCTGGCCAAGAAAAACTCAATGCAGCTAAAATCAATCAAAAAAACCCACAACAAATCAGGAAAATTCAAATTAAAAAATGCAGGTGAAAAAAATGGAAATAATTGGAGGAGAAAATTACCTCTTTAGCCTTTAGCCTTCACTCCCCACACACACACTCTCTCTCTCTTTCTAGTAGGGAAAGAGAAGAGGCTAATTTTTTTTTGGGTATTTGAGGAAAAATGGGATTCACAAAAAGGGAGTTGTGTAAATATATATAATAGGCGATATAAGGGGAGGATCCTGCGACGGTCCTCCTTCCTTACATGCATGCTTAAACGTAACAAGCTCTCGAGGTGTCTACGTGTCATAATTTCATTGGTAGTTCGACACGTCATTCGATATCTTGGTCTTTAGAGTAGAACAAATATGGCATATTTGGAGATCTGATTTTTTTAATTTTTTTGGTTCTTGATACCCTTATATATATATTCAACTATTGCACTTCGAGTCGCATCCTTTTTCTTGTGATTAATTAGCCCCATAATTAAAACCTATTTGAAGGGGAAGCGTTCTTTATCTTTCTGATTCGCAGACCATTGCAAAAAGAAAGGAGTTCAGGATAGGAAAGTTAAATTACCTAATTTTCAATCTTAATATAGATAAAGATTAAATATACATATTTATTACGTAAAATGTATTTATCCATACGTCACAATTTGAATTGACTAGAAATATATGAAAAATACGTAGTAAGCAATATTACTGACTCTCGAATTCATAACGGGTTATAATTTTGACCTTGCTCAAAATAACACTCCTATGGCGATAGGCCTTCACCAAAAGAGAAGTTCGACTTCGCTCAAATTTACAACTGGTTATAATTTCGACCTCGCTCGAATTGACACCCTTACGGCCATTGGCCACCGCCGGGTAAAAGTAAAAATTTTCCCATCCGAATCAACAGATCGAATCTCGACCTCGTTCGAATATATGTCATAAATTAACTCCGCCCAAGATGGCGTCTCCAATTTCAACCATGCATGAGCATATAAGTCAAACTTTCGCCTAGGTTGGCAACTCTAAGTTCGACCTCGCTCGAATACATATGGAAAAATTGATTTCGCCTAAATTAGTAAGTCGGAATTCAATCCCGCTCGAGTATACAAGTCAAAACTAATTTCGCCCAAGATGGCGAATTTAAATTCGACCTCGTCTGAATTAAGGTTGGTTCCGCCTGAGTTGGCAAATCAGAAGTCAACCTCGTCCAAACTCACAAGTTCGTATTCACAATTAAAAGGGTCAGGGACTCATCACAATGAAAATCAAAAGATACACAAATAAAGGCGAAACAACCATTTTATTCAAATATACGTGCGTGACAGCCGCACCCTACAAAAGACCGAAGCGGGCCCTTGGGAAAAGATGAAAGTAAACAACAAAAGAACAAAGAAAAAACTAAGTGCAAAGGTTGCAGCAAAAGCTTCACTCAGCATCATCCCCACCGTCGTTCTCCCTAACATCATCGTCATCATCAGAAGGCAACTCATCCTCGTTATCAACGCCCTCACCAGCCTCCGGTTTCGCAGGGTCATAACCGCAGGCAGTGCCATCCTCGCATGTCTTCGCCCGAGCATCTTCAAAGGCGGCCTCTGGAATATTCCCCGCCTCCCACAAACCCTTGTATATCTCTCGCTGGGCCTCGCCGTGGACCCATAGCTCATACAAGCGGCGGGGGACCGCGGCTGAGGCAGATTCGACCCGGGCCAACAGTTGTTCCTTCTCGGCCTCAAGTGCCACGACCCGATCTCCTAGGCTCGAAGCCTCCTAGTCAATTTCACCAATAAGCTCCTCGAGCCGAGCCTCCCTCAGTGTGGCCGTTGCCCTCTCAGACTCCTGCTCAAATTGGAGGACGCGGATAGTGTCCTCCAGCGCTGCCGCTCTCGCCAAAGCCGACGTCCGAGCCTCCTCGGCACTTTCCATCCCAGCCACTTTCTTTTCCAGCTCGGCCAACTTCCCCATCCATTCTGCGCTCAAAACTTCTACTCTGGTAGCATTTTGCTCAAGTTCGGCTTGCAGAGACAACACCTTCACCCGAAGGTCCTCGCACTCCGCGGCAACCCCTTTGCGCACCTCGAGTTCCTCGTCTTTGGTACAAAGCATCTCCTCGAGCTCATTGCATATGCGGATAGACCGCACCAGCTCCTGATCTTTTTTCTCCAACTCCTCCCTAGTAGACTGGGTGCTAGTACCTGCCTTGAGCCGCTCGTGCATCTCACGGCACTTGTTGCGATACCGACAATACTTCTCGAGCATTTTCAAAAAAAATCTTGGCCCGCGTCTCAGCTCTACGAGCACTCTTGACCTCTAGCATGTAAGACAAAAAACAAAAAGAGAGAAGAAGGAGAAAGAGAAGAAAGGAGTCAGTAAAGACAAAGGTCACAAAGCAAAAAAACAAAAAGGAACTCACTCTTAAGCCCATCGCGGCCACACCGCGTGACAACTCGGAGTCACTGACTTCCTGAAAAGCTCCGCTTTCTGCGGCTGAGCATAGAAGGTCAAATTGTGGCACAAAATCCACCGTGTCTTGCAGCAGGTTGAGATCCGATGGAATTTCAAGTATTCGGGAAGGGCCTCCCGCTCTCACTACAGTTCGGGTAAAGCCCTCCTTAAACATCCTTATGTCCTCAGGATCAATGTCGGATTCAGACTCATAATCATCAACCATGACGCCTTTCCCCCTCTCATCGACCGAAGAAGGGGTACGGTTCGGCTGGGATGTCGAAGGGCCGCCCGAAATAGCAACGGCAGCCTCGGGACTCCGTCTCTCCGCCACACTAGCCTCTTGATCACTCGCAACAGGCCTAGCCTCTACGACCGGGTTGGCACCACCGCCAGTTTCGGGCACCACCGAGGCAAGGTCGCCTCTCGAAGATGTTTTGGCTGGAGGAGCCTCTTCCAACACTGCTGGTCGCTTCTTCGACGGGGCCTCTCCACTACCAGCACGGGAAGATTCACCCGTTGAACGGACTACGGGAATCGGAGTCTCTAGCTGAGGAGTAGCCTCCGCGCACACGACTTTAGCTGCGGGCGCAGATCGGGTAATAGCTCTCGGTGCAGGCGGGGCAGCGGCCCTCGGCGCAGGCCAGGCAAGGGGCACCAATTGACGGAATGCGAGCGGAGGAGCCCTCGTCCTTCGCGCTCTCCGACCTGCCAACAAGGAAAGATTAGATCGTATAATGACAAGGTTAAACTATGAGGTAAAGAATAAAGAGAATTGCAGTAGGCCGACTCACCAGTAAGAGGCTTACGCCAATACTTCTCATGGAATGACGCCCACTCACGAATCTCCATCGTATGGGGGAGAATTGCGCTCACCCACTCGTGGATATCGGCAACTAGCGGGGGGAGGTAATCTCTCGGCTGCAAAAGCAAAAACAAGTCCTTAGCAATATCACCTAAAGGAGGACGATTGATTACCGTCTTAAGAAAAACCACAAAGTAAACAAAGGAAAACTCACGAGCGAAGTTCCACGTCTCTAGAAACCCTGCCGAGTTCGCCACAAGGTGCTCTGTTCGCACATAGATGTAGCTTTCCCAAAAGCGGCGCCTTATCGTCCATCTTCACCACCAAACGCTTGGTTCCTCGATGGCGCATATGGATCATCGTACCCCGAAGAAAATGAGGGGCAAAGATGTGAAGCATGTGCCCCAAGGAAATTCCTCAGCCGGCAAGCTCCGCGTACTTGATAAGCATAAGAAAAAGTTTGTACGCGTATGGAGAGAGTTGAGCCGGGAACACTTCGTAGAAGCGGCAGAAGTCTACCACCAGAGAGGGAAGAGGAAACGTGTACCCGATAACAAAGGGGTACGCGTAAAATGCGCAGTATCTCGGGCGATGCAAATGTACAATATCCTTCCCCGCTGCCGATACCATTTCGATATGGGCAGGGATTCCCCACTTGGCCTTGAGCGCCGTAATCGTCGCTTCATCCATAGTGGAAGGGACAGGCTCCGGTTCGTTTCCGGCGGGGCTGTTAAAATCAGTCCTCATCTTCCCTGGGCGGGGTACTATCTCATCCACCATCAGAAATCTCTCGTCTTCCACCACCTCCACTCCCTCTTCAAGAAGGGGCACATCACCTTCTAGCACCGGAGCTTCAACAGCTCTATCGGTCTAGGAAGGAGCACCAGCCATTTGTCTTCTTTGATCGAAATAAACAAGGATGACGAAGGGAGAAGGGGTAATAATCACAAGGAATTCTAGCGGAAGCAGAAGTATGGAAGCAATAAAAGGGGAAAGAAGTTTGGAAAGTTCTCTGATAATTGAAAAGTGCAACAATCAAATAGAGGGTTTCTCCCTTATTTATAGAGACATAAAGGCTTTGAGTGGGAAAACCAAGAGCCGCCAATCAGAAAACAAAAGGGGCACAGAAAACGATGCGGTGTCTGGAAAACGTGCGCCATGATAACGCATAGTAAGCATTCATGATATCATGAATTGATGTGACAATCCAACTCTGAACTGATGTAACGGCCCAATGAGGTTCCTGGATCGTCACGTCGCTACCTCGCCATAAGGACCTCGACCCTTGCGTAATGATTAGATTTCTCCCAACTTTTGAATCAACGAAATCCGCCTATCGGGCTCGCCAAGAGGCGACCCCAACAGGCGGAGGGACTAACTGTATGGGTCAAAATCCGACCACAAGTGGATTACCATTAAGGGGAACGGTAAGGGGTCAACCAAGCCATGAACGTACCCATAAGGTGTAATGGCGACGAGCGCCTCGGCCACTGCCGAGATCGAGCTATCGAGAAGGCTTGCGCATCAGAATATATGCGGTCATGCTTGAGATTCCTTCCTTATCTTCTTTGCTTTTACAAATACAGAACAATATATCAAAGATGTAAGCTTATCATTTACGTTTGATGTCTTTTAATCATTCTAAGAAATATTATATGAACTCAGCCTCATTTGATTCTAGTATTCAATATGCTTAGATCTAAAGTTGATTATGTTTGGCTAGGATTTACTCTCTATTTTATCATTAATTGGCTTCACTAAAAGGCTTAATACTTTTTTGGTCAAACAATGACCATGTATAACTACATCATTTGGATATCTCTTTATTATTGATGGGTTTACAACGCTTTAGCTTTGTATTTTGATGATCTAACAAAGTTACTGTCAAAGAATCAGATAAGGAACCTGACTCATTTGGTAAAGAACTCAAATTAACGGACTCCAGCTAATGA